CATTAAGGACTAGTACTAGTACTTGTTAGGAGCAAGGCAAACCTTTAAAGTATGGTCTGACCATACTAATTTGACATACTTTAAGACTCCTCACAAGTTAAACTATAGACAGGCTTGCTGGAGAACAGAACTAGCAGACTATAACTTTGTTTTAATGTATAAACCTAGAAAAACACTTACAAAAGTAGATACACTGTTTAGAAGCCCTCAATTTAATAAGAGAGAGTATAATAACAAAGATGTTACCTTTATTAAAGACTCCTAGTTAAGAGGAATAGTGTATACAGGTAGTAAAGTCATTCTGTAAAAGATCTGGAATACTTAGTAGGAATTATTAGACAAAGGAGAGGAGTACCCAGCTAGTATACTTATTAGAGATGACTATATGTGTAGGAATTCAAAGATATATGTTCTATTAGACCTTGTACTAATGGTTCTGAAGGAATATCATGATTCCCTACTTGTAAGACATCTAGAGTATAGGAAGACACTTGAAATGATCTAGAGAGAGTTCTGGTGGCCACAGATGAGGACAGACACTAAGAAGTATGTTTAAGGCTATAATAAATGCTAAAGAACAAAATCCCTACACACTATAAGACAAAAGGCATTACATCCTCATAATACACCTGTTAAACTATAGTAGGTAATATCTGTCAATTTAATTAGTAAATTGCCTGAGTCTAAGGGATTTAATACTATTTGTGTTATTGTGAATTGTTTCTCTAAGCAAATACATACTCTTCCAACTACTATAAAGGTTACAACTGAGGGAATGGTTAGATTGTACAGGGATTAAGTCTTTAGACTCTATAGATTAGCTAGGAAGATTATACATAACAGAGGACTGTAATTTAATACTAAATTCATGAGAGAACTTTACAAAGCTCTTTATATTAAAGGGAATCCCTCTACAGTATATTATCCTCAAACTGATAGTTAAACTGAGTGTATTAATCAAGAGATAGAATAGTATCTCTACTTGTATGTTAACTATAAGTAGTTAGACTAGGTAGAGTAGATTTCTATAACTGAGTTTGTATATAACAATTAAGAACACTCTGCTACAAAGTTCTCTCTGTTCTATATCAACTCTGAAAAACACTCTATAAGCTTTGAATCAATTTTGACTGAGACTAGTATGTATTCAGTTGAACAATAGACTAAGTATATTAAAGATGTTTAGGACCTTGTAAAGAAAAGCTTAGACTAAGCTGCTAAAGCTATAAAGAAGTACTATGATTGTTATTCAGGCCCCTCTATACAGTACAAGCTAGGAGATATAGTGTGTTTAGATTCAAAGAACATAAAGACTACTAGACCTACTAAAAAGTTTAATAACAAGTGGTTTAGTCATTTTAAGGTTGACTCAAAAGTTAGAGCTAGTATATATAGACTCAAACTACCTTAGGGATAGTTGATTCACCTAGTGTTTAATAAGATTCTGCTCAAACCATATATTTCTCAAGTCTTTAATATTTAGAAGGCTCCTCCTCCTCCTCCCCTAGAACTTGTAGATAATAAGATTAAATACAAAGTTGAGACTATTCTTAACTCTTAACTCTACAAGAGAAAGCTTTAGTTCCTTGTCAAATGGGTAGGATACTAGGAAGCAACTTGGTAGTCTGAAAATGACCTTACTCATGCTCAGAATACTGTTAGGGATTTTTACAAAGTCTATCCTAGTACTCTAAGACAACTTAATATTCTAAAAGGAACCTTTAGAGACTTTAACACTTTACTTAAGTAAAATAGCCTCTAGATTCAGTTGTCCAGGATGTACAACCTAAGGAGAGAGGTAATGTTAGGATTGTAGAATTGGACCTATTTCATTTTCTTTATATCTCTGTCAGTCTTACAAAAAACCAACATTACTACTAGATTTTCATAATCCTTAACATCTTATTTATTGTTCTACAAAGTTTCATAGAGATTGTATTAGTATTGAGTGTAGGAGAGAGCTACAGAGACATGAGATAGTGTATACAATTATAATATAGCTAATCTATTTCTTGCCCAATATAGTAACTTATGCCTCTTTTGTGTAATAGCCTCTTAGCCTATATTCTCTAATGTATAACACTCTGTTAATTCTTCCTAGCCTCTAATGTGCCTGTTGGCTTTGTAATATTTGTTCTTATTATTTCTTTAATCTTATTCTCAAGTTTTATTCCTTACTTTACTCTTGTTATTTAGTTATTATAAAAAGTAGTCTGTAAATACAGTAGTTTCTGTTAGGAATTGTAAAATACAGTAACTAGGTTTAGAAAGCTTAACTCAAGACTTGGAACCAAGTAGTTTATATACAAAACTCTATTAGTTACAAGTCTAGAGATTAGCTAGATCAACTAGGCTACCTTTGTTGTCCTACTTAGTAAGAACTCTAGCTTAGCATTATTAACCTCTAATTATTACTAATAGGTGATCAATCCATTAGCAGAGAGAGGGGACAGGAAGGAGTAAGTATTAAGTCAGTTAGGAAAAGGTAACAAAATCTGTAAACAAGGCCTTTATCTCTCTAAGGTTAAATACATACTCTAGCACAGTATTACTTGATAACCTTAACTAAAGACAAGTCATTTAGAATGCTTGTATAGAGAGGGGATCTGGAAAGAGTATAGTGTTCAGAGTAAGAAGTATAAAGAAAAAGACTAGGAGAAAACCTGAAGAGATAAAAGGAAAATATTATATTTACTTAAGGAGAAACTATATAGTTAGCTAGAAACTCTTTGTACAAAGACAAAGGACTATCAAAGCTAGTAAAGAGCTAGAGCCAATACTCTAAAGCTCTATACTTGAGGAGGACTAGTACAAGTGTAAAGGAAAGGGAACTGAGAGCTCTAAGGAGAGACTATAGAAAAGTAGTCTTCTTTATACACTTTACCTATACAGATAGGAAAGTAATAAAGTTATAAATATAAGGACTATATGAGGACAACATAAGGAATACATGAGGCAATCTAGAACTTTGGTTGTAAGTTCTATGATTGAATACAGAAGCACAAAGATAAGGCTAGAAGTTAATAAGGATAATTGTCTCCTAAACTAAGTCTATTAAAGAAGACTTAGGGAAAGATCTAGAACATTAGTTGTCAGTTCTAGAGTGTACACAAGACAGTCTAGAACTTTGGTTGTAAGTTCTAGAGGCAGTACAGAAGTACAGCCTTTTATATTACAGAAGTCATAAGGAGTCATTAGAAGTAATAATACTCTACCTTATAAGAAAGTCTATTACAAACTAGTGTACAGGAAGTATAGGTTGAGTCAGACAGAGTTATAAGAAGACTATAGAACAATAGAAAGCTCCACTTTATAGGAAAAGCATTACACAGCTTACACAGTATAACTAGTCAGGAGGACTCATAAGGAGTCATTAGAAGCATGAGAGGAAGTATAGAAGACATAACAATACAGTAAAGGAGTCATTAGAAAATTAATCTAGAATACAAGAAGACACAAACTAGTGTTAGCAGATTAATAGAAGACACAAACTAGTGTAGTATACAGTCTAAAGGATTAGCCAGCTCTACTTCATGAGAACAACAGTGAAGGGAGTTACTAAAGTCACTAGAGTAACATTACTCTAACAAAAGGTATATAAGGAGGCCAGTTTGGCTCTCAAAAGATAGTTTTATCAACTTAAGTTACCTAGTACTTAGAAGTACTCTACTATCAACCTACTAGGCTACACTTGCAGCTTGACTAAAGTAGGACTCCTCTACCCTCTCACTCTACAAGTCTACAAGTCTTACCCTCTATACTCTATTCTGTTACTATTCCTAAGAATTAGGACTAGTAAAGTGAGTATATCTAACAGTTTCTTAGTTTTTTGACTCTTCTCATATTCCTACTTGTTCTCCTAGCATAAATCCTAGCTGGTAGCTTTAGGAATACAGTTGGATTAAGGGCTACAGGTCTACATTTGCAGTTTGAGAGTACTATCAACCTAGAGACACATCTCTCCTAATAAAGATATCTTCAAAATGTAGCTATAATTACAAAACTTTTAATATTACTATTCTCTCTTTTCTAATATAATACTCTACTACAAATATTTATTTTGCTGGATTTCCTGTAAAAAAAATTATTTATTGAAATACACTCATTTCTTTTAGTAAACTTACTATACCTTGCTCAATAATCAATTTTAAGAAAATTCCTCTGTACAAAATCAAGACTAGTATCTATTAATTACTACTAATGTTTTAAAATATTTTTTATTCAATTGTTGAAGGAGGAGATACATTTGTGAAAGTACAAGAAAAGTCTAGACATGATGGATATGTGTGGCAGACTGTAGGAGTGTCTGGAAATGCTGACCCCCTAGTAAGTACTAACTAGTGACAGGTTCAAAGCAGTTTAACCCAGGAATAATATAGCCTTTCCATTTATGGGCAATACATACTATTAATAGAGTTCCTCTATCTTGCAATACTGCTAGTTTGTCACAAATCAGAGACAGGTAGAGTATCATGCTATCCTTTCCATTTGGATCTGTTAGTGCTGATCTTTTGCTTAATCTTAATGCCCTAATGTGTGCTGGCATAAACTGTTCCTTCAAATCCCTTAAAAGCTACATGAACTAATAGGTTAACACTCTCATATCCTTCATCCCTCACTCATTCAAGCTGGATCTGTCTTCCTCATCTTCTTTGACACCACCCTTCCACTTTCTGCTCTAAGCAGGCTGGATTGGGATTCTTCATAGATTCAAGTTATCCGCCTGTTTCTCTGGCTCTTCCCTCCGTCACTCCTTAAAGTTATCTGTCTGTCTTTCAAGGTACTAGCAACTGGAATTTGACATTGGTAAGTCCTCTACTTTAACTAATACGTTGGTGCGATAACTGATCACTATACAAATATCCATCAGTATAGGAAATAAAACTGCTGCAATGAATCAGGTGTTTGTTGTCGTAAAATTCAGATTTTTGAAATGTCTTAACACCGTGAACGGCACAGAGCATAACGGACAACAATCCCTCTATCATATATAATGGCCCATGGCTCCTGAACCAGTTTACGGATCCCCAGAATTTTCCGGAGACATTTCACTCGACTGGACAGAATGGCTCAACTATATTTATGCAGTTCAATGGTCAGTATTGATCGTCCGATTCGTTGTTATACACCTAACGATGGTTGTAGGTACTCGAATCTTAGCCATAGGCATGTTTCCACCAGGAAATGATTCGTTGACTGCAAATTACTCTATCGACGGTGGTCAACCAACCTTGAGCTCAGTGCCTTTTATCTCACAAAGCACCTCGTTATTGTACCAGCAATTCTTTGCGTCTCAGAACCTGTCGAGTGGGCTTCACAATATCACTATCACCATTTTGGAGACAGGCCCTAGTCGTAATTATTCCTTTCAATCTTTCACCGTCTTTCAAGATATCGCCGAGGGCGGTTCGAATACTAATAGCCCCCACGAGCTTGACGGTGCATCCGATACAAATATTGCAGCGATTGTCGGTGGTGTGTTGGGAGCTGTCATAGTTCTTCTCTTCTGTCTTCTAGGCTGGTCCCATTTTAAGCGAAGGAGAATGTCTCTACTTCGGAGATCGACTGGCACAGATGAATCGGTGAACTCTGCCTCAGGTATGCCGCCCCTGAAATATGCATGAAACTGTAAAATTGATAATGCGTTCGATTGTGGTAAATCCAGGCATTAATCCCTTTATGCTGCCCCCAGTCGGTGTCGTAGAGCCGACAGTCGAGTGTACAAACTTGCCTCAGTCCACTACTACCATAGGGGAGACATTACTACCTCCTTACGTTGAATCCCGTGTGTAATCAGGAGCGTATTCAGTTGCACAAATGCCATATTCAATAGCAAGGGCCTCATTCGTAAATTCAGACGAAGCTATTGGCGATCGTCCAGTGGTAAAGAACGCCTCCTACTAACTGAACGGGAAGCGCCACCTCAGAAGGCAGTCGGTGTAGTCAGTTCCGCTCCTCTTGTACTCGTCATCTGGACCATTGCTTTGCGAGTAATGTCATAGTGGATTGAGTTTCGGTGAAGCTTTACTAAGCATTATAAACTTGGTAGGAGATTATTGCAAAAAAGTTACCATATGCACATGTGAAGAACGCCAGAATTGCGATTCGTACAAGTATAGAACATCAGCTGCGTCGATTCCAGGCGAAAACCAGTCAAGTTTTCTGTGAGACGTTTGAGACGTGCATTTGAGGTATTGGATATCGCCTTCAGAAGTTCGTGTCACAATGAAGCGGTAATTGCTATACATACAGAGCAGCCTTCCGCTGCAGCTACAGGGTGTGAATGCGACGCAATACTATCGCACTTTGAGACGATGCGTATGTTGACTCCGAGATTAGCAAATTCGGGAGAAGAGAGAATCCCGAAAAGTCGTAAACAATTCCTGTTCCGAGAATGCATCGGTGCGGTTGTCAATACTCTGACTATTTTTAGATCTGTAAGCCAGCATGCTCATCTATTCTCTTGTACTCATTTTGTCCCTAACATCAAACATTCAAGTTTTCATGTAGTGCTCTGTTATCAAGTACAATTCCAAAAGGGACAGCAGTCTAAAGCATTTTCTCTACTTGTTCAAGTGAATAGGCAATATTTACCAATCATCCATGCTATCATTTCGTCGAATCACCGTGGTAGGCTAAACTTCTTCAAATTCTCTATACCCTCCTCTTCAAGCCTCATACCCATCCACTCACTCATTGGGAAAGCCCCAAGACACTTCTCGTAAAAGTCTATCGAAGGTGTGTTCCACTGTTTAGGAGATCAAGATGTGAAATTTGCCGTTCGAAAGATGACTTATGTATAACATACCTTGAGTACAGACCAATCCATGCGTGCGCAATTCTATATGCAGCAAAATAGTTAGCTGATAGATATAGACAGGAAATACGAACTGACGTTTTCCTGTGCAACTTTTGCTAATTCTGCAAAGAAGGCTTTACCCAGCCCTTTGGATCGAAATTCGGGTTCTACGAATAAATCCTCGAGCTATCCGAAAGGCAGTATTAAACACGATCATATTCTTCGTTGAATGATAAAACCAATACATACATATAGTCCAGGTCTACCAGTCCAAGTCGAAAAATTGAAGAAATACAAAGCAAGGCCGACGGCTTGACCTTCTGGTGACATTGCTAGAAGAGCATGCGCAAAGGGTTTTGTGAACAGGTTTTGTTTGATCTATGCATTGGCGTTGATTTAAAATAAGTTGCAAGATGTTCAGCAGAAGAAAATTATTCACCAGCTCTGGAGTAGCTTTCGCTGATTCCTCAGTTTTCTCATAAATAGCCTGCGAGTGTTATTAGGTTTCTCATGAAGTATGATTATGAACGCTTACCAGTTCCTTAACAAGAGTTATAATTGCATCCTGCATGGATTAATTATCTTGAGCACTGATCCCGAGAGAATAACAGAAACGCTTTAACTATATCTTCCTTTGTATCAACTGCACGGCGGATGCGAAATAATCCAGTATCCATTTATGTGTACAGATTGGCCTTTGAGCTAAGTAATACTAGCACTGATTGGAAGAATAAGTCTGCTCAAAAGAAAGCTCAATGATGTGGTTCGAAGGAAATGACTCCACTCTGTATTGTCGATGATCGACATAATCAACTTTATCCGAAAAATTGCCACGGTACTCAAAGAGAAAAAAAATCATGAAAGGCAACAAGAACTTCTATATTCTATGAAGGCAACCATGTAGAATGGTCTTCGCATAAGTGAAGCTGCTTCTACACCACCCAGTGACAGCTTAAAACATCTACGCTAAACAGACCCCTGCCCGTTGACCATGCCAATATTCGATATTGGTTAGGATGGCATTATAATGAGTCAGAGCAGCAAGGACAACCATAACGTGAAATATTTGATGCGAAGAGAAGAAGTAATCAAACGTCCCTGGTGAGAGGCGTTCCGGAATTCTATTCGCGCTGCAACGTTTGATCAGGTTAGTCCTGACCGTCAGAATTACCCGAATTGCGGATAGACATACTAAAGCAAGGCGCCGATGATGTACAATACGCCTGACAAGACCATATATTGAAAACCCATTTCTACCTGGATTGTATGCAGACTGTAGATAAATAAGGCATGTATCACAGGGACGGCGGATGACAAGCCCAATGCTATGAAGACCGTAGTACGCGCTCCACGGTGGGTGGGTTTCGCATATTCTGGATTTAGAACGATGTATGCGGCACCTTCACACTATGTAAGTATACATGATATAGAAATAAAGCATTGTAGAAGCTTCAGTCTCACCGAGACCCGCCAAGAGGAAAGAGCCTAGATAGAATGCTCGAATAGCTGGATGACAAAAGAACCCATAATAAACTCCGGGGTAAAAAGACCCAACGATCAAGGCTATTAATATTGTGTACTTTAGTTCGTAGTCATTTAATAAATGGTGAAAATTACTGACTAATAATCCCAGAGTAGTCAAATGCATGGCAGCGACTTGCAACCTGTGTAATTGTCAGTCTGATTTTGATTTTTTATTATTAGAATTGGAACAACTTACGGATTCTGAATGGCATCCGGCCATATGGTAGAACGAACTTGACGTCAAGCAAAATACTGCAGACAGGATGTAAATCGAGAACATTGTAGAATCAACCCAAGTTGCGGTCGGATAGCGTGCGACAACATAGAGCTGATTAGTGAAGAATAATATCAAGAACAGAATAGCTCCGAAAAGATGACTATGAATATTGACTATTCATAATGTTAATCATAGAAGATGAAGGCATAAAGATGTTAAACACGGACCGGTCTCGTTGTGCAGATCTAGCGAAACGAGTTAGATGCATTAATAAAACATTTTTAAGGAGCACGCACATCCGAAGATAGAATGAAAACATCCTTTCCAATTGTTTTGCGCCCTATACAACGAAATCCGTGGAATGAAATTTTAGGCATTGAAATGACTTTTTGCACACCTTCGGTAACCACGAATGATATACTCGTTGTCCTTCTGCCACTCTTCAAGCTGGTGCCACGTCAAAGTCTTCACAAGCTCGATAGCCTCATGTTCCGCCGTTTTGACCTCCTCAATCACATGCGATAATTTCTGCGAGATATTTCTGTGGCGAAGATCCATTGCAGAGGTCCAAGTTCCCTGCAGAAAATATATACGGATATTCTAGCGCAGTTTAACAGACAGATACTGCTCGTTAGACGACAGTACCGCCGTCTGTGAGGTGGACTGAGCCAAGTGATGAGATCATAGGAAGATGACAGTCAGAATAAGAAATGGTCCGGTAATTGCACGTTGTGCCGACCTTTCCTTTCTTGGATATAGAGTTCACCCTGACTGTGCACTGTGCACAACGCGCACACCTCCTCTACCTACCAGTGTCTGCAACAGTGCAGCACTGCCCTTGTTCATCCTCCCTTACAGCTAAGCTCATGTCTAAAAAAGAATATAGAGATGAAAAGTCCAAGTATTCAGATGACGAACTCTATAATAATGACAATGTGCTGAATGCCATTCGACGAGGTGACTGGGCAAGTCTTCGGTCGTTGAGCCTAAGACCTGGCGGTTTCGGAGAGGATAGGAGGCATGCTTGGTATGAAGTCCAACTTGAACTATACATGTAACACTCTTAATTTTATTTCTGCTCGCTAGGCCGTTCTTGTTGCATTCTGAGAAGGACGAAGGGTCTACCGCAGTAAAGGAGACTGATAGTGTTCAATCTCCTCTGCGAAGACGTCGACGAGGAAGATCATCATCTATCACTGTGAAGAAGGAGGATGCCAGCAGTGATCCTGTTGAGGCTGCGCCAAGCTCCTTGAGCACAGAATCTCATCCTGATGAACACCAAATCAAGCTCGATACCGACCGCAGTTTTGTGCTCTATTCAGTAGGTAAACTAATTCTATGAAACGCAATGCACTGCAATAACTAAGCTCCTTATGTAGAGGGTGAAATGAGTCGTGAAATACTCCAGGCAGACTTGAACGACCTCATTATGTCTGTATTCCGAAGACATCCACGACTAAGCTATTTCCAGGTAAGATCCATGTTGAGTTAAACATCAGCGCACAAGTTGAAACGCCCGAAGGGTTACCATGACATTATTACCGTCTTATTCCTGACTTTGCCTGAAAGCGACCAGCTATTGTGCTCGGAAAAGATGAGCCTACACCGCCTGCGCGACGCAATGGGGAAAGGTTTGGAACCGTTGTTAGGACTCCTACAGTGTGTTCCTGTGTTTCCGCCTTAGATATTCTCGTCACCAAACTCGTTTTAGAATTTTGAAATATCTGCTTCGACTGGTGGATTCGGACTACGCAGCTCTTCTAGAAAGGTTTCTAATGCGTTGTTATCTGGGGTTCAGAAGAAATACTGACTAAACCTTTGCTGTCAGGAATACCCCACTACCCTATTTTGCTCTGTCGAACCTGCTCACCCTCTTCTCACATGATGTACCAACTCTACCGCTAATTCAGCACGTATTTGACTTCCTTCTCTGCCGACCGCCAATTATCATCGTTTATTTAGTAGCTGCTGTACGTCCCAAGTGTATCGCTTTCTTAGAGCGGGTATTGATATCTATTTAGGTTACTCTTGTCCGCAAAGATGAGGCCTTCAGGATGGAGCAAGAAGGCGAAGACGGCATGCTCCATTCTCTTCTTAGCTCACTTCCTGATCTGTCCGACGGAGACTACGCGCATAATTCAAAACACAAAACAATTGACAATACTATCCTTCAAGTAGACCTTGTTGAGCCCGATTCCCCTAAGAAGGAACCTGTCCCCGAGGTTATACATTCTGAATTGCCAACGACGGAAGTGGCGGATGTCCGCAGTGATGGATTCGAACTCCAAACCGAGGCGACCGAAGCCAAACTGAATATTGACCAAATTGGTTCGGATAGTGGGACCAGTGAAGCGACTTCTTCAGGTTCAATTCCTCAGGAAACAGAGAGAATGGAAGGCTCGACTAGCGCGCATCACGTTAGAACGGAGTCCGTGTCGTCACAACAAACGGATGAATCGCATTCTGCGGCCATGCCGGGATCTTCCATCGTCTCGGACCTATCTTCCTCAGACCTGAGATCTTCCGACGAACCGGAAGCGGGGACGTCATCTCGCCCCGCGTCCCCGTATTCCCAGGCAGCTGCCGATCATGGACCAACCCGACAATCGGTTTCTCTCCCTGCCATACTGCAGCATGCAGATGCGCTTTTCGCACAATACCCGCCAACTCATCCTGCCTTACACATCTCCGAAATCATGGGTCCGAAGAGTGTGATGAACACTTGGTCCGAAGACCCGCAAAATCTCATGTCGGACGCAGAGGCTGAAGCCGTTGTCTCGCATCCAGAACTGATCGCACTTCCATTCGTCGATCCAGATGAAGCAGCAGCCCATAAAGAGGCAGAAGAAAGCGCCTCCAACGTCGGACGCATCCGGCGAAAGCTCCGGAAACGAATGCGCAGAAAGCACTTCGGCGTGCGCCTAGACAAGAAAACCGTGTTTACTGGCACGGTCGTAGCGCTAAGCGTCGCCGCCGCCATTTATTCCATGCGCGGAAAGAATGGGAACGGCGGAATACTGCATATCTCCAGGTCAGATAGGTCAGTACGGAAAACGGCGAAGGTGGTTAGTGAAATTTTGATCGGTGGTAGTGAGCGTTTATTGGAGACCTTCGGCTGGTAGAATTGCATATAAGAACTTGATGGTTTCATTCTGCAATATATTAATCCTTGATATGTTTTATTGGTAACACTTCGAAATGGGCAAAACCGGGGGTGTCAGCTGCTTAACGCATGAGTATTGTACAGTGCAACAGGATACAAGCTACGAAAGCAAATGCAGTTCTCTGTGAAAGTAGAAAAAACAAAGAAAGAACGCAGATAGCACCACAGGCGACAGTAATGAACAACAACAAATGATGACGGCATTGAAGCGGCAATGTGAGGGTAAGAAAAATAAAAATGCAATAAAAATCCCCAATGATGAATCCTAAATGTTAAAATCCGTAGTCTTGGTATGGAGGAGGAAGTTCCCTCCTTGGTCGGCCAGGCACGTTTAATGCGAGACGCACGCCAGCGTCCCGATGCACGACAGTCTCCACATCGGAAGGTGTCGGAGTCGTCGGTAAGAAGCGGTGGCTATGTGAGTTATGTGTGTACATCTGCGTTTGCGGAGCGCGATCGTACGTTTCAAGAGCTCGTTTTGCATCCACCGGGGTATGAGGCAGAGGGCGGGACGCCGAGCCGCCCGAGCCGGCGATCTCGCTTCCATTCTCGGAAAACCCGGAGAATAATGAGGCGTCGAAGGTAGTACCGAAATTTGTACCCAGAGGTGCGAAACCGAGACGCGAAGGTGAAGCAGTCACACTCGACACGCCAGTCTCAGTCGGACTCGGGATGCCGCCCTTGGACGATGGAAGAACAGGTATGGGCGGTACAGGCACGGGCACGGGCACGGGGGTTTCTAGATATGGATACCGATATGCGGAGTCAGGGACGCTAACTCTCTGACCGATAGTCGTCCCAACGGTGACACGCGTTGTTACGGTCGACCCAGATACAGGCCTCTGCTTGATGTCGAATATAGGCGATTCATTTGGGTCCTCGGAGAGGAACGACGGAGTTGGATGGGAGGTGCCGAAAGGAGGTGACTGTTTAGTGGTCGAAGAGAGCATCTTGTTGTTATGTGTGGGAAGGAGTGATGGTCTCGACAAGCTGCGCGGAAGGGAGAGTGCACTCGGGATGGACAGATGGAGCGAAGGACGATGACTGGGTTGAGGCTGGGAATCCTTCCATCCGGATGGTTTGTTATTCGGTACCGTCCGTCCTCGCTTTTCTAATCGTCGGCGTCGGAGAAAGAGTACCATTGACACGACAACTATTGCAAAAAATGCGATAGCGCCTGCCACCGAGCCTATTACGACCGCATCCGAAGTGCCGTTGCTTGCACTCATTGACGCGGCGGTTGTGGAAGGGTCGGAAATCCCTGAAGTTATACCAGGAGTAGTGCTGCCGGATGCTGCTGGGGAGGCACCAGCTGTCGAAGACGATGTCGGATTTGATCCGGGGGCGGCAACGGTGGGTTGAGAAGGTGGTGTAGGAGAGGAAGATGAAGGAGTGGAGGATGCTGAGGGTGAGGTGGGATCAGGACCGGGGCCAATTGATATTGATGTTGAAGTAACAGTACCTCCCACGCTCCGAGTGCCGGAAGAAGTTGATGAATTGATGGTACCCGATGGTCCTGACGTTAAAATATTATGAACCGACTGTCCGCCTAAATTAGAGACGGGCTGATTGTCAACCGACTGACCATTTTCAATAATCAGATAGTCTATAGTAAAGGGCCCTGCATCCAGTACGTTTATGTTTAGCATGTGTTGTGACGACTGATCCAACCCAGTAGCGGAATAAAACTGTTGCTGAAACTGCTCTGCTGTGGTGCTCGACGTGGCAGGGAGGTCATCGTTCTGGGAGCCGCCGTCAACTTGAAAGTGAACTTTGGGTTGACTGGGATGCACCGTGCCAAATACTGTGACCGATGTGCCTACGATCAGATAGAAAATTTATCAACATTTTATATCAAACTGGATTCATAAAACTATGCACCTGTAAAGGGCCCAAATTGTAACACAGCACCAGCAAGGGAGGTACTATGAGATGTTGAGTCAAGTTCTCCCGACTGCCCACTAGGCTTCCATGCATTGTCTTTGTAGTTGAAGCGAGAGTCGGTGTCATCGACGATAGTCGAAGACATGGTGTTGCTGCAGGTGGGCGTAGAAACACGCCCAGATACTCAATGGAGAGTATGTTATTTTTGCGCGTTCGCGGTCAACCTGCAACGAAACAGTCAGCAACCGCTACACTTGCATTGATGGTGGGTGGGATAAGCAGATATGCCGATGGCGACAATCTATGACACATGCAGTTGAACCTCACTTACGCGGACAGAAGGTCGAGGTCTTTTGAAAGCAGGAAGGACAGTGAGGATTGCCACGAAGGACAATGGGAAAGAGTGTGTGTGCGGGCAGAAGGAGCGGAGACAGATTGAGAGAGAGGGAGGTAAGGCAACCGAGGCTAAACCATAAGATCGGCCTCAGTGGCAGCGTCACCATCGGACCTGAAGCCTCGACTCTGCTCCGCTCCATGAAAGGCCGACGCCGTTTCGAAGGTCGATCTCCTTTGGTCAGAATATAAAACTGCTCACGAGTCTAATCGGGCAGGTGTGTATCCAGGATCGATGATACTCTGCAGCCTGCCGATTGGTCCCTAGATTTGATGCACTCTGGTAGATGATTATTTCACTGATGATATCCCCGCGAAGCCAGCACATCTGATTCTGGTCGTCCAACACATGGTCCAGCCACACATGGAGGGCGGTAACGGTTTCCTCGCGGTTATATATGAGGCTTCTGGTGGTTGGGTGGTCAGTTGGCACACTTGATAGTCGCCAAAGGTCATACTGTATAAACGCCTGGCTGCTAAGTCTAGTTGGTGACCATCCTCAAGCAACAGCAAAGCTTAGCTATGGCAATTCAGTGTCCAGAACGTCAGCAGGCTTTTTTTTCGTTAGTGGGAGATTGTGAAGTCGACCCTTGGGCGGCTAAGCGAAGCGACAGGGGGTGCAGATTAGCCGGAGCCGAAAAAGCTTACATAATCAAACGTTATAGTCTTCGTCTCCTCCCGCCTTATTTCCTTTTCAATGCTTTCATCACCTCTTTTCCTTGCCAAATAAGAAGATATACATCGATCCATTTGAGTGCAAGGTTATTTCCTATCAGTTACTGGTACCATCAGGTCAGTTATTATTCTACACCTTTGATGCAGAGAAGCGAGGAACTATTGTCACCATCTCTCTCGCCATCTAGCCACCATACTGGATCATGAAAATATTTCCTGAAACGGCAAGGCGCTGGTGGAATGTACGGACATCATGATTGTGATGCCATAGGCCGCTGTACAGTGTACTGTATTCTGAAATGTATTGCACGGTAAGAGATGACTCGAATTCTCTCTCACGGCGCCTTTGTAATATGGTAAGCAATGCCAAGATTATGCCTACTTGCTCACTTCTTCCATAGCCAAGCTCTGCTCAATAATACAATTGCAGAAAATGTTTATGATGACTATTACTAGGAGTGTCCTGTCTGCATGACCCCTGCTTCGTGCAACTGCGCTATGATCTTGATACGGAAAGCCCTAATAAAATCAGAACTTTCTCCCAACTCATTCCTTACCTTCCTTGGTCGTGATCCGAAGACGCCTTTCACAGCGTGCAAAGTCTTGATCAATTAATCAAAACCTTAAATCACTACTATGAACGTCTACACCTTGTGCCTGCCTTTAGCAAAACTCGAGCCTACACCAGGAAGCAGGAAGCAGGAAGAAGGCACATTCTATTGCTCAACAGAGGTTCTCTGGTGAGCGAACAGCGAGATTTGAAAGTCAGGGCTGAATTGATTAGCATGCAATAACATTCTAGCGTTCCGCCTGATTGCAGTAATAATAAGTATTGATCTGCTCGGCGGATTGTGAGCGCGTGCTACAGCTGATGAACAGTCGCCAGCGCTGCAATATGGCTTTAAACTACCGACTGTGTCTAGCCAAGGTTCTTCCTATCCCACTAGGTCTATCCTCTACGCGACACTGAAAGAACGCCTTGTTCGGGCTTTTGTCCGATCCACGAGGCGCTGAAGGAATGAGGAATGGCCTTCAAACGGGCAGAAAACGAGGTGAGCTTTTTGAAGTCCAGTTTCAAGGTTAATTCTACTTACGGCTTAGGGTATTTAATACTAATAGACTTACCTGTGGGATACGGACGGAAGCATTCAGTACAGCGACGGTTGGGAGCTTACTGAAATTACTCATGATGAGACAGGACAAGACGGAACGTTCCACTCGACTACGAAAGTGGGGTCAAAGGCAGCGTTGTCGTTCTATGGTGCGTTCTATTTGCGACTTTTTTCGAGATAAACGACTTAAAATTGGACATTACTATGCACTAAAGGGTCTCAAATCGTTGTGAACGGCTACGTCTTCCCAGGAGACTCTCCCGTGTCGGCTTATTTTTCAGTTGACAGTGGAGACGCGTCGTATAGGGAAGAGCCCACAAACATCGGTGGACAGACATACCTGAGCACCAATCTTTTCCAGTCTGATCCCCTACCGCTTGCACGCCACATCATAACTGTCGAAGTCGCGAACGCAACGGCAGCCCGTAACTTCTGCATCAATTTCTTTCTGGTAAACAGTAATGATCAGGGAATCCTCGCATCGAGTACGTCTTCCAGTATCCAGTCCAGCGCGACGGCCAGCGGGACACCTGCCTCCGGTCAGAATTCTACTGAAGGTCAATCTAGTTCGGATGGTGGTAGCAAAGGCGTGTCTGTCGGAGCAGTAATCGGTGCTGTTTTCGCTGGCATTGTATTAGGGGCCATACTGGCAGGAATATTCCCATTATACAGAAATTACAAGAGACGCAAAAACCGTGGTTTATTGACTGTCGATTCCTCGGAACCATTTCCTACTCGGGATGTGACACAGCAGTCTGGCGGGGCAACTGGTACATTTACGAACTCGATGCTCCTTTGCTTTACTAACACTCTTCCTCGTAGATGGATATGGTGCAGTACATCCTTTCACCCTAGGTCAAGCAGGCAGTCAACAATCAACAATGTCCGAAAACCCGTTCCAAAAAATTGCAGGGACAGGATTCGTCTCGTCTAGAAATCATCACGTGCCGGTTTCACCGACGACGGAATTATTGTCAAGTCCAACGTTATCACCGGACGCCCTATCGAATACTCCTTTGACACGTTCCCTACATCCTTTGTCTGGGGTTGTGGCATCGCACGAGTTCCCAATACTAATCCCGTCTTCTACGTATAATGATTGTGATAACTCTGGAGGTGAGCATTGCATTCTTCAATTGAATCCGTTTTAAAGAATCGATTGATGGTACTGACCATTAATAAATAAGATCCTCCGGCGTATCACAACCGTGCTTCTCGCGCTGAATAGTTACTGCAACCGCTTTCTTTTCGTCTTTAGTGAGGATAACGTGTTGATTTTTTCTTGTTGTCAGCCTAACGGATACCGCGCTTTGACTCGGATCTTCCATTCCTTCCGACTATCTAATGGAATTGCATACTATACCATGATCCCTCTTTGCCAACGATCCCTCTTTGCCAATTTTGCATTTACCCATAAAACACGTTACTTCAAGCTACCAAAAAATTCATGAAAGTGTATTTGTACTATACAATATATAATATGTCTTTTTTTTTGTAAAAAAATTGACCAATAAATTAAAAATTGGCAAATACTATTATTTTCACTTATTAGCTAAACTATAATTTCGATAATTTGTTCTGTTAATTTATTTAATAATTTTATTATTATTATAAAGTCATAATCTTATAGAATACATACTAAAATACTTATATATGTATTTTTAAAAATAATTATTACTTGTAATGAATTAAAATTAAAGAAAGAGTGTAAGAAAGTGACAAAGAGTGACAAAATGTGATAAGTAATGAAACTCCGATCAAAATTATACATTTGTAATAGAATTGCCTTTCTTGTACTTCTATGTTGATGCCCCTTAAACTTCTCGTCTTCTGTGCTTCTCATGCCTTCTCAGACTAAAGCTGCTAAAATTAACTCAGATACTCAAAGAGAAGCTAAAATTCAAGAGGCTATTAATGCTATTGAATCTGGAAAAATTCAAAATGTAACTAGGGCAGCCTCAGTCTATCAAATACCTTATAGAACCCTTTACAATCGATACCACCATTGTCACAAAAATAAATATAAAGCTCAAGCATCAAAAAAGCTTCTTAGTAATTCAGCAGAAACATCTTTATCTGACTGGATTACTCTTTGGGGGAATAATGGTACTGCTCTTAATCAGAGAGGGGTTGGTTCTATTGTTGAACGTATTTCTGGAGTACATCCTTCAGATTTTTGGTGTCGATCTTTCAAAGCACGTCACCCAGAGCTTAAAGTGTCACGTGCTTCTGGTCTTGATCCTAAACGTGCACAAGCATTCAATCCTACAACTGTTAATCACCATTTCTCTCTTCTTAGAGATTTGGTTGAGAAACAAAGTATTCCAGTGGAGAACATTTATAATATGGATGAGAAGGGTATTCAATTAGGAGGAGGAAGAAAGGGCAGGAAACAGAAGTTCTTTTTTGGTCAAGCATCTCATCAAAGGAATTGTACTCGTCTTAGGGATGGAAATCTTCAACTTGCTACTATTATTGAGTGTATCTGTGCAAATGGATCACTAGTACCTCCTGGTTTTGTTCTTGAAGGGAAACAAGGCTTCTGTCCAGAATGGTTTAACAATGCACAAATAGGACAAGAATACATGTATGTTTTCTTTTTCTTTCTTTTTCTTTATATTCCTAAGTATTATTTAGGGTTTCAATTACAGAGTCTGGATGGACAAATGATTTCATCTGTTCTGAATGGTTCAAACAGATATTCATTCCTCATGTTATAGCTTGACCAGCAATTGATAAGCCAGTCTTATTAATTTTTGATGGCCATGGATCACACCTTACAGATGAAATGGTTGAGCTTGCATTGCAAAACTATGTTCACCTTTACCAACTACCTGCTCATACTACACACAAGCTTCAGCCTCTTGATGTTGGAATCTTCACTCATGTTCAAAGGAAATGGGAGCAATATGTGGATTCGGTGGTTGAGACTACAGGACAGGGAATCAAGATACCAGATATTGTACATCACTATCTTACAATTCGAAAGGAAAGCATTTCTCCTGACACTATCAAGAAGGCCTTTACTAGTTCTGGTATCAGTCCTGTAAACCCAAGTGTATTCACAGATGTGGATTACGCACCAAGCCGGAACACCTCAACAAAAGCATCTGTTCCCTCCTCATTCCCAATTCTGTCCCCTAAATCATTTGATCTCTTCCTCACCCATTCCTCGCATCATGCACATCAGGAAGCGAACACTGCGAACAGCAGCGGAAATGGTAACAATGGTGGGAACGGACTTCCGTCACTCTCCTTGCCGGACACCTTTTCGTGCTCGAACGCGATGGATCTCACTGGAGGGAGTGGAGTCAATGACACGAACGACAGCAGAAATGGTGACAATGGTGGGAACGGACTTCCGTCACTCTCCTTGCCGGACGCATTTTTGTGCTCAAACACAATGGATCTTACTGGAGAGAGTGGAGTCAGCGTCACGAACGACAGCGGAAATGGTAACAATGGTGGGAACGGACTTCCATCACTCTCCTTGCCAGACGCCTTTTCGTGCTCGAACGTGATGGATCTCACTGGAGAGAGTGAAGTCAGCAACACGAACGACAGCGGAAATGGTAACAATGGTGGGAACGGACTTCCGTCACTCTCCTTGCCGGACGCCTTTTCGTGCTCGAACGCGATGGATCTCACTGGGGAGAGTGGAGTCAGCGACACGAACGACAGTGGAAATGGTAATAACGATGGGAACGGACTTCCGTCACTCTCCTTGCCGGACGCCTTTTTGTGCTCAAACGCAATGGATCTCACTGGAGGGAGTGGAGTCAGCGACACGAACGACAGTGGAAATGGTAACAATGACGGGGACGGACTTCCGTCACTCTCCTTGCCGGACGCCTTTTCGTGCTCAAACGTGATGGATCTCACCGACAAGAATGCAATGTCACTCATATATCCTGCAAGTCCTGTAACGTCCAACGAACAGCCAATGTACACTCTGCCTGTGTGTCAATCTCAGGATCAGGGTGGAGAACAGATGCATATGCACAACTGTAATACCTTTGCCCTGCCACCTTTACACTCTTCCAGTACAAACACTGGTGGACACGCGTTTCCCCTTCCACACACAACTCATCGTCCAGATTTACCTCTGCTGGGTCAAAAGCGTAAACGTGACTCACCAGAAGAGACTGAAGCATACGTTGAGAGGCTTGAACATGAAGTCCAGAGCCTCTCAAAGGCACTTCAAGCCTCTCAAGCTTCTGAGGAGTCTACTAGAGTACACTGCATACTTGTTCAACGTGAACTAGAAAAGCTACAGGGAAAAATGAACACATCAGCAAAGAAGAAGGAGAGCCGGTTCAATCCTAAAGCAACAGTCCTTACCTCTCAAGAAGGACTTCGGTTACGTGAGGAGGAGAAGAAAAAGAAGAAGGAAAAGGAGGAAAAGGAGAGAGTAGACAAGGAAGTCAACCAGCATAAAGCAAAAGAAAGGGACATAGCTCGAGCAGCAGCAGCAGCATCCAGTGTGTTCACTGGTGCTCTATCATCCAAGAGTAAGGATGGGCTTGAAGATATTGCTGCTGCACTGTCATTACCATTTAATGGAACTAAAGTAGAACTTACCAAGCGTATCAAGGATCACTTTGAAGCCCATCCTGAACTCACTGAAACCCCCCGTTTTTCTGGACTCTTTACTAGTACCCGGAGGAGGATACCCCTTGGAAATATAACCAACTCTACCAACTTTATAATCAGTAATATGTAGATAGATAATTAGCATATAAACACTTACCATATAGACAAACTGTACAGTCGTGTTACGCTTGATGAGTATAGTCATGACACCACCAGCAGTCTTGATACCAAGCAACAATGGTGCAACATCAAGCAACAAGAGGTCCTGGGTCTTCTCCAAGGTGTCACCCTTGAGGATAGCAGCCTGTAGTGTAGCATTGTATGCAACGGCCTCACCCGGGTCGACTGACTTGTTGGATCCTTGCCATTGAAGAAGTCGGAGACGAGTATGATGATTCGAGAAAACGGGTCGAACTACTGACAAGGACAATCTCGTGGACGTTCTACTTGCCAATCTTGGAGCCACGGAGCACCTTCTCAACAGTCATGAGAGTTGAACGGAAGAGGTCATTGTACAGTTCCTCGAAACGTGCACAGGTGAATGAGGTGTAGGAGTCGATACCCTCGAAGAGCGAGTCGATTTCAATGGTCGTCCAAGCTGTAGATGAGACAGAGAGAGCACTGAGTAGGCCACAAGCACAGAGAGAGGGTGTACAGTGAGTAGCAGGCACGGAGGTAGGCAGCGATGCACTTAGCACTACATCACTGCATTCACAAGGTGCAGCACAAGACTTACTCAGCAAGTAAGTCTTGTGCCGCATCATGCCGAGCTCGAAATCCTTGTGACATACTGTGACAAAATTGGCAAAGAGGGATCGGGTCCCCCCACAGCTCAAAAAAAATCGTAAAATTTTTTTTAAAAAGATATTATGTTTTATTATGTTCTAATCTATATACATGTAAATTTTTAAGCCAAGATATTCAGTGGTTGAGGAGGAATAAAAAATTGGCAAAGAGGGATCATGGTATAGTAGCGCTTCGTTTGCGAATGGACTGCGAGACCTATTTGCTACTTGTCACCATTATGCAGAACTGTTTGGCAACTCCAATATCTCGAGAATCATTAAGGATATAGCGCAAAGTGACTTTATAAACTGTCAACGGTCAAGAACGTACCGCTTCAGGAGCACGGTACTATCTAAGCAGGCGACGTACAAGAAGAACGGTCTTTTCTGCCTCAATTCTTGTATTTAACGAATATTTACCTCGGCATAAAAAAGAGGGGACTCCCAGTAGAATGGTACCCTAACCGTTTTAAGTAGTGTCTCCGTGCGTGCCTTAAAAACAGCAAATACACCTCGCGAGGTGTATTTCTTGTATTTATCGCGTCGGAGAATGAACCAAGACTGTCGGCTGGCCCGGCAGCCTTCTTGTTTAGTGTAGCACCGTCATAAAATAATAATACTACATTTTTGAGTGAATTTTTGGCGCCAGGCAAAGCTACACTTGAGGGTGAAGTGGATGGTGTGGACAGACTCGGCTCAGGAGAGGCAAGTGGTGTCCACTGCTTCCGTTATTCAAAATGGTGTCATGGACAGTACTAGGGAATGTATCTTGTGAGACATCGTTCTGCTATAAAAATACACATTTCTGCCCATTTTTTGAGACATCATACCCTTGTCTAAACTATGGCTAGACAGTGCAACAAAGTCTCCCTTCGAATTTCCTTGAAAAAATTGGCTGTTTTTCTATTAGCAAGATCTGACAGTAATGAAGAAAAGCTTCAGGCTCTAATATATCTTATGCTTGCAAGAAGACTTAGGGCAGCAACTGGTCCAAGAGGGTCTTATATTGCAGACAAATCTGATGATTTTCTGCACAAACTCCTTCATACTTTTCCATCTAAGTGGTTTAAATCTCATCTAAGGGGAGTATAAATTTGTAAAATATACTTATTCAATCTACAATAATTGTACAAATTACAGAATGAGTAGAGACAGCTTTTGGCATGTCCATGACTTAATTCAAGATGATCCTGTATTTGTTTCTTCAGGCAGGAAGCCTCAAAGGTCTGTAGTTGTTCAACTTGCTACATTCCTTTTGAGAGTAGGAGGGCAGTCTTCAATCCATACTGCTGCCAGTGCTTCTGTTGCTGAAGGAACTATGCACAACTACTGTGCTCGAGTATGTCATGCTATTCGAAAAATTCAAAGACATCATCTTGCATGGCCTGGACCACAGAGGAGAGCTTTCCTGAAGGAAGAGTTTGAGGAGTTAGGCTTTCCAGGATGTATAGGAGTCATAGATGGAACTCTCATTCCTTTAGCTGAAAAGCCTAGGAAGAATGGGTGGTACTTTTATTGTAGAAAGAAATTCTATGCTGTGAGTAATTTATTTATTAGAAACTCAAATAATATTAACAGATATTCTTATATTTAAGTTTGCAGTCCAGGCTGTGTGTGATCACAGAGGGTTTTTCACCCATTATGACATGGGATGGCCTGGAAGTGTACAGGATACAAAGGTTTTCAAGCAATCAGCTTTGTGTAGACAAAGAAGACAATTCTTCCAGGATGATGAGTATATTTTAGCAGACAAAGGTATGATTAAAGTAGTAATATACTTCCAGTATTCTTCTTATTTCTTTTTCTAGGGTATCCTATCACAATGTTTACTATTAGGCCCTTTGCTGAGTATGATATTACTGCAAATCGACTTGAGGCACGCCAGAGGAGAGACTGGAACTTCAACCTCTCAAAAGTTCGAGTATGTATTGAACATGCTTTTGGAAGACTCAAAGGCTGCTTTCCCTGCCTCAGAAACCTTCCTGGTTATGATTTGGAGGCTATGTGGAGAACAGTTGAAGCATGCATGATTTTACACAATATTTTGCAAGGTATTAGAGATGATCCTACAACAATTGAAGGGTTCAATGGGGAGGAGGATGTTGATGATGCTGGAGAGAATGAAATGGATGAAGATGCTTTCTTGAATCATAGAGGTAATATTCCTATTGATGGTATAGGTGAAGACAATCTATATGCAGCAGGAATTTATAGGTGAAAACGTCTTGTTCAGTTATTCTCTATGTAAACTATTTCTATGCTCATATATTCCTCCTTCTGTTGCAATCCTCAGCCCCTCATACCTTTGCACCTCATAACATGTTGAGCACAAGTCTTCCGTACTTTTCTATACACAGTGTTAATGTAATTGAGCTAGTCTGTAGAGATACCAATGTTCCATTTTGTCTCCATAGACAAAATCTGGCAGTTACAGCATCTATTTAAATATATTTCATGTGTCTTCGAAAGGTTAATCGTCTTGTCATCTTCGCAAAACGTTAATCATCCACAGATCAACATATTCTAGCAGAGAAGTATCATCTGGCAATTATCTTGGAACAGATGGATCCTTGATGAATTTGGCACATTCTCTGAGGCACAAACTGATAAACAAGTTGAACAATATGCACAGAACACTACAGTTACAATTAATGATTTGTCTGCAATGGCAGCAAAGGGAAATACAGGCAGTACTGGCAGCAACAGTTGCACTATAACTATTCATAAATTATAGCCATACTCAACAGCTGTTATGTGTCAACAGAGTGTAAGATTGTACACAAACTTGCAGAGAACGTGAATTACGTCCCATGTCCAAAGAACTTGTTTATCCTTTTCTGTACTGAAGTTGTTGTGCAAAAGACAGCATCTAGGACTCGTGGTGCTGCTGAGACGAAAAGACAGAGAGGAGCTGAAAGTGATATCAAGCAGTCTCTTCTGGAAGCTCCATCCCTTCCAATTCAGCTATCTCTCTCCTCAGTTTTTCTGCACACTTCTGAGTGAATGGATCTGGGTGATCCAATGTAACATGATAAGCATGCCACTTCTCATTGAGCAAACGAGCCTTCTGTTCCTCAGATAGTATCTGTACCTCTGCAGTTTTGCATGCAAATCGTTCTCACTCCATCCTCAGACGTTCTTCATTACAGCACAGTTTTTCATCATTGTGGGCTGCCATGGTTCACAGGGACTCACTAAATAGATCCTCTGTGTCTTCTTCTTCCCTTTTCCTTGCTTTTTTTGCCTTTGAACCCATTTGTATTTTGTCATCATCATCACTCATAGGTTTTTCAGATGATATATTAAACATCTTTACAATGTTTGGATGATTGTGTGCCCTGAAGAAAAAAAAAGTAAAAAAAGTAAAAATATACAAAATTGGTGCTTACACTTCGTCAAGCATCTGAAAATGGATTGAGGCCTCGAATGCATCCAGCTGAGCCTCAGAAAATGAAGCAGCTGTAGCTGACCTTCCACTTCTCTTCCTCTTTTTCTTAGTATCAGTTTCATCATTTAATGCAGCATCCTCAAGGTTGAGGTGGTTGATTCTGAATACATCTCCATCTCCACCTCCTGTGTGCTCCTGACGAGCTCGACAGGCTGCGAACTTTGACCACATAAGATTCATACATGATCTAACTTGCTCAGTAGTCTTATCAGTAAGGATATGCTGTGAAATCTAGGGACAGCAAGACAATTGATAAGGTCCTTAGTGTGTGACATGTAGAAAATGTAATTCACTCACATATTGGAAGTATTACCCTTGTTTCACTTTGAAATCTGGCCACTGGGAGGCATCAAGGACATAAGACAAGAGAGCTGTCTTGTCATCATCTGTCCAACAAGCTCTCTCTGACATAGAGGAGGCAGATGTCTTGATATTGGCAGCAGCTTTCAACTTCAGATCAAGACTATCTGTTTCCTCATCAGATTTGCCTCCTTCTCGAGCATTGACACCAGATTTTGACCCCTGACCTTTCTTTTGCTTCCCTGCTGGTTTCTTCACTGTCTTGTCCTTCTTTGCTTCCTTTGCCTTAGATTTTCCTTTCAAATCTCGTTTAAATCTTGTAATTAGTTTAGAAACAGTAAAGTAATTGAAATTTACATACCAGGTGCTAGAATAGCCTCTGCCTGATCACCACTAGAGTCCAAATCCTCTACCCTATCTGTAATATGCCCTCCAGCTCTTCTTGGTGAGATTTGGTGACCTTGATTGTCAACAAGAAAATTCGGAGTGCTTGGTGTCTGAGGAGCTTGAAAAGGAGTGCCTTGATTTGCTGGAGAATGTCCTAGCATTGCTGAAGGACTTTGCTGGTAGAACTGAGCTGTATAGGGTGCATACTGGTACCCAGGTTGACTATTGTGAGCAAATGCGTGACCTGGTGTCGAGTGTCTTTGAGGAGTATGTCCATATCCATATCCAGAGTGCATATAGTTTGGATCAAGCAGTTGAGAAGCAAAGGTAGCAGGAGTAGGACTATGAGATAAGTGCTGAGGATGTTCAGCAACATTTCCCCCAGGCTGAGAGCTGCCAGTTTGTGTTTCTTGGGACATAGCGAGGGTAAGACACACAGAAATTAAGCAGGAAATGGTATTATTTCTTAGTTCTATCTACTTATGGTAATGATCACTGTATTTTTTATTTTAAGGTCTGCAGGAATGATGGATCAGCATACTTTGTAGTTCTCATTTCTAAATGCTGTTTTTACTCCAATATTTTCTCCTTCCAGGCACCATTTGATGTGCCGAGGGCATAAATATTCACCCTTTGTTTTTAGAATTGAGATGGGCTAATAGCAAGCAAGAATTCCGACTCGGACCCATGCAGCAATGCATACTTATGTTTTTTCTCATTGGCCACTCTTATCAATCAACCCGCCTCCTGTGATTCTTCTTCGATTACTTGATTGTAGCACAAAGATGGTGCGCCCAAATATTCACACGATTCATTCGTGGTTACCTTCATTACTTCCGATAAAATCATCCAGTCCACTGCGCTAAGGCAATGCCTCGTCCACCGTCGAGCGAATTGAACAGTCCCCATTTTTTTTTAAATGGTAGCCTTGCTGGATGAGCAACAAATATCTTACTGTGTTCTACTTACTAGTTCCACTTGCCATTTTCTCTATCAAGTCAATGTCTAGCCATTCTCTACCAAGTAGTTATTTGTACACCTGACGACTTCTCTTATTAACCGCTTCTTTGAACCCTGATCCGGTTTCCCTGGACCAACTGTGCCATCAATCGCTTATTCTCGGGCGCGAATATCTGTTTTATATACTCTCCGCATTACTTGAAAAGTCCTCCTCTCTTTCCTTTCGTGTGCAACGTTAAAAGGGTCTGTGGCCCTGTATTGCGAGTTCTCTTTACCCTGGTGGTCTTCGTTTTTTACATTCACCAATAAAGGTAGGTGTTAGTGTTGCTTTCCACAGTCATTTAGCTTGAAATGTGACATCTATCAGTGCAGGCACTTGCCAATCGATTCCGCATTAACGAATCGTCACTTCTGATAATCTATCTGTTGGTCAATTAGCACGGATAATATCGAAATGCCTGAAGTTCGCCACTTTAAACCGTCACTAATCCGAGCAAACGAATACTCATATTCACGTTCAACTCTGACAGTTTCAAATAATCGATAATAATGATACACAGGTTGACTACCAAGGGTCGTGGCAACCTAATCCAGTATTTTCTAACGGGGACAACAGCACGATAGTAGGCATTAGTCACTCAACGGCCGAGATTTCGTCGAGCGTCTTTGTTCCCTTCAATGGTATGGTGCAAGGAAAGTGCTTGCCGTCGGGAGCTGACAAGATACACAGGCTCTCAAATTCGCGTCTTTGGTATCGTTCCGCCCGGTCAAGGGGCACTGGTCGCGAATTATTACGTTGATAGTTCCTCGCCTTCTGCCACGAATAGTGAACCCATCCTGACACAAAATACATCGATGCCGGATCAGCTGCTATTCGAGTCGTCGTCTATATTGGGGGCAGGCGAACACAATCTTACAATCGAAGTCATCCAGACAGGCAGTGATCGCAACTATACATTGAGTTACTTCCAGGTGCAACCGAGCACGGCTGTTCAGACGGCTACACCCAGTAACACTACGCAAATCGTGTTAGGTGTTCTGGGCGGAGTTCTGTTGTTGCTTGCGGTAGTGTTTGGGACTCGTCGTGCTATGCAGTGGCGCAAAAAGAGGCTTCAAATGATTCAGCACGATTTCGAGAAGCAGCCCGCTCAGACTATGAACAGCTCAAACCTGCCTAGCTGGCGTACTTCCGACTCAACAGCCGTTCATAACCAGAGTCAGCAGTACACTGCAGAAGGTTATGCGGGTCGCAGCCACGTGAGTACATCCGGATCGGAGCCTCGCGGTGCCCGTAAGTACTGTTCTCCCTTTCTGTATACTCTACACCGAAGTCAAATGATACCTCTTATAAAGAAATGAATCCGTTCGTTCTTCCTGGAGAGGAGCACTAGGAAGGGAGTGCAGGCAATCTTAGTCAGCGGCAGTCTCGACAACAAGACTGTTTCGTCGAGGCTCCCGTCTTGTTCAAGCCTTGGAATTCGCCGTTAGATAGACTTGTGAGGATAAGAAGCAGGTAATTTTCGACGTTTTTTGGAGTGTAGTATACACAAAATGTGTATTCCGAAGTTCGAACGATTGCTTGGTGAATGAACGTCCGATTCAGAATGGTCGTATAAGGACGATTCTAATGTACAAATTGCTTTCATAAAGGTCTAGCATTGACACCTGTTCGTTTGGACACTACACGTTCGATAATCAATTGAACTGCCATGTGGCTATATGCACTTCACGGCGATCAAATGTCATTTATCCGGAAGTGGGTTAAAGCGGAGCTTGAAACGCCCACAGTGTTGATGTTCAACTTTCTAGGCCCTGCCTCAAACTAACGTGCTGGCTCAATAGGATAGCTGTTATACCTGGCAACTGTGCTTGTTCATCAATCCCTTGATATTTATTCAGGTTTCCTTGGATCAAGATGTAATACCAAACCCTATTCATAAATGTGAATACCTACTTTATAACCTCTCTACTAACTTATATCTTTCCATTCTGTGCACAAAGGGTCTGTGGCCCTGTACTGTAAATTGTCCATACCCTGGTGGTCTCCCTTTATTGCATTCATAAACTAAAGATAGGTGCTAGCATTATGTCCTATGATTACTCAGCTAAAGACATACAGTCTATTAGTACAGGCACTTTTTAATCAACACATTTGTCAACAAACTATTCTTTCTGTTGTTCCTAATAATTCATCTGAGTCAATTAGAAATGTGTAACAACAGGATTTCCAAAGTATACTACTACTTTATTAATAGTAATCTAAGTAGATAAGTATTTATGTTTACTTTTACAGTTTCAACTAATTAATAATACTGTAAAGGCTGGAGCCTCACTCAAGAACACAGAACAGGCAAAGACCTGGGATTGATGAGAGGTCAACCTAAGTACAGGAGCAAGTACAAAGATAAGATCTAATTAATCTACAAATAGCCCTTTTATATTTATCTAAAGTCATATGTGTAACCTTAAAGGTTACACTCTTCCCTACTCTAAAGAAATAAAAGGGGGGGTAAGAAAGCAATTAATGAAGAGGGAAGGGAAAGGTATAGAAAGGGGGGAGGGGAAGGAAGAAGGAATAAAAGATGTAAGGACAGAAGATAAGGAACACACAGTTATAAGTCTAGAAAAGCCTTGACTTAAGCTTTAACTTGTTAATGAAAACACACATGACTGAGACAGACACAAGTTTGACTAGAAGGCACAGTACTACTACAGATAAAGAGAAGACAACTGAGACATTGACTAAAATGTATGGTCAAGAAGTGAGACAGTCCTCTTAGGAATGTATAAAAGAGACAACATTAACTAAAATGTATAATGTTAGGAATGTATAAATAATAAGAACATGTTACTGTACTAGACAATAGTAAGAAGGCAACTGAGAAGGTCTTGTTTGACTAACAGTAGGCTGAGTGTCAGAGGTGATGAGAGTTGTTTAGTAGTGTGAGTAAAAAGGAGTGTGTAAGTTAGAGTGTATAATAAAGAGAACTTAACAACTCTTCAGTTATACTAGTACCTACTACTTAGGAGAGGTAAAAAATGATTAAAATGTATAGTTAAGAAGTAAACAGTCATCCTTAAGTATGTATAAGTACTAGGAGGAGTAGAAGGACTAGGTTGACAAAATTGACACACTAATTCTAAGAGTAATGAGAGTATATATAGTGTGTAAGTAAAACAGAGTGTGTAGAGGTAATAAAGGGTTCATTTATACTAAAAGAACAAAGGGGGACAGGACAGGACAGGACAGGACAGGACAGGACAGGACAGGACAGGAAAGGGACTTTATACTCTTAGATACAAAATGACACTAGTAAGAGCTTAATACTCAGACTAGGTCCTAAAAGTTTAACACTAGTAGAGGCTTAATACTCTGACTAGGTTTATAACTAGAAGGTTAATGTGTAGTAGAGGCCCTTTAAGGATTACCTCTTAGCTACTACCTTCTACTTGTACTACTAGATTGTTAGCCTTCTCTCTCAGCTTTCTCTACACACTTACTACCTTCTACACTCTTACAGTACTCTATAGTAATACTTTAGTTAATTATAAGCTTTACAATTGTTACACTAATATCCTGTTTAATATCCTGTTTACTCTTGAGAGCTTATAAGGACATTATTATCTACCTTTACTATACTACCCTCTCTTAACAGACTCTTACCAGATTAGTCCTTAGATTCTAAGAGAATGTGTTAAGAAGAGTGTGTGTAGTTGTACTAGAGTTGTATATGTTACACATTATTATGAGTCTGATTAGCTGTTTACAATCAAGGTTCTACTACTTAAGAATATACTTTTACTATACTACTTTAAGCAGATTATTTATGTCTGTCTCTACTCATACTTCTCTTACTACTTATTACAACCTTAAACTAGAGAACAATTAAACTCAAGCTCCTTAATCCTAAGAACAATACTAGTTTTAAAATTGTGTAAGGAAGTACTATCTTAATACTACTACTAATATCTGAAACTATAGTATAATTCTCTTTAGAAGCTGTAGGTTCTACACTAACAGATACTGTTTCTACTAGTATAACAGACATTACAATTGAGTTATTAACTACTACTATTAGTATAATAGATATTACAATCAAGCTATCAACTATACTGTATTTGTTATATACTTATTATACTTACTATAATGTGTATCTCTCTATTATTAAAGTGTTTGTTAAGACAGTCTATTCCTTACTATACTATCTCTTACTCTGTCACTGTCTAGTGTTTACTGTTATTATCTACTGTCTACTAAGAGTATAAAGTCCCTTTCCTTTCCTGTTTCCTAAAGTATAAATTCCCTCTTCTAGTTATAAACCTAGTTAGAGTATTAAGCCTCTCTAGTATTAATTCTAGTCCTAAATATCTAGGGCCTCTACTACATGTTAACCTTCTAGTTATAAACCTAGTTAGAGTATCAAGCCCCTACTAGTGTCAAACTTCTAGGACTTAGTCTAGGTATTAAGCTTCTACTAGTATTATTTTGTGTCTAAGAGTATAAAGTCCCTTTCTTGTCCTGTCCTGTCCTGTCCTGTCCTGTCCTGTCCTGTCCTGTCCTATCCTGTCCTGTCCTGTCCTGTCCTGTCCTGTCCTGTTCTGTCCTATCCTGTCCCTCTTTGTCCTTCTAGTATGAATAGACCCTCTATTGTCTCTACACACTCTACTTTACCTACACACTATATGTACTCTTATTACTTTTAGAATTAGTATGTCAATTTTGTCAACCTAGTCCTTCTACTCCTTCTAGCACTAATACACACCTAAGGATGGCTGTTCACTTCTTAACTATGTGTTTTAATCATTTTTTACCTCCTCTAAGTAGTAAGTACTAGTATAACTAAAGAGTTATTAAGTTCTCTTTATTATACACTCTAACTTATATACTCCTTTTTACTCACACTACTAAACAACTCCTATTACCTCTAACACCCAGCCTACTGTTAGTCAAACAAGACCTTCTCAGTTGCCTTCTTGTTATTGTCTAGTATAGTAACATGTTCTTATTATTCATACATTCCTAATACTATACATTTTAGTTAATGTTACCTCTTTCATACATTCTTAAGAGGACTGTCTCACTTCTTAACTATGTGTTTTAGTTAATGTCTCAGTTGTCTTCTCTTTATCTGTAGTAGTACTGTACCTTCTAGTCAAACTTGTGTCTGTCTCAGTTATGTGTGTTTTCATTAACAAGTCAAAGCTTAAGTCAAGGCTTTTCTAGACTTATAACTGTGTGTTCCTTATCTTCTGTCCTTACATCTTTTATTCCTTCTTCCTTCCCCTCCCCCCTTTCTATACCTTTCCCTTCCCTCTTCATTAATTGCTTTCTTACCCCCCCTTTTATTTCTTTAGAGTAGGGAAGAGTGTAACCTTTAAGGTTACACATATGACTTTAGATAAATATAAAAGGGCTATTTGTAGATTAATTAGATCTTATCTTTATACTTACTCTTGTACTTAGGTTAACCTCTTATCAATCCTAGGTCTTTGCCTATTCAAAAAAAAGTGTAAAGGCTAGAGCCTTACTCAAGAACACAGAACAGGTAAAGACCTAGGATTGATAAGAGGTTGACTTAAGTATAAGAGTAAGTATAAAGATAAAATCTAATTAATCTACAAATAGTCCTTTTATATTTATCTAAAGTTATGTGTGTAACTTTAGAGGTTACAAATACTAACTCTTGAGTCAACTATAACAGGTTGTAGCAACTTTCCACAATATCTTTTATAAGAAACAATAAGACAATAGTACACTCTATATATTCTACAAGTGTTAATTTGTCAAGTGTCTTTTTTCCCTTTAATAGTATTATTTAAGAAAGTTGCTTACTATTAGGAGCTAACACATTACTCAGGTTCTCAAATAAGTGTCTTTAGCATACTACTGTCTGGCCAAGAGGAGTTGGTTGTAACATGTTGTATTAACAGCTTTCTATATTCTACTATAAAGTATGAGCTGTCCTTACTCAAAATGTGTCTCTGTTACATTAACTACTTTTTGAGTCATTTATATTAGGGACAGGTGAGTACAATCTTAAAATTAAAGTCATTAAAACTGGTAGTAATCAGAACATACATTAAGTTACTTCCAGGTGCTTACAAGTATAGTTACATTTAGTATTATTATACTATACTTATTAAGTGTACTAGGTAAAGTTCTCTTATTGATTTTAATAGTATTTAGGACTTTTTGTACTATATAATAGTGTAATAAGAGGCTTTAACTAGTCTAGACCAACTTTGAAAAGCAACCTACCTAGACTATAAACAGCTCAAATCTGTCTAGCTAGCATACTTCTGACTTAGTAACTGTTTATAACAAGAGTTAGTAGTACACTATAGAAAGTTATATAAGTTACAGTTATAAGAATACATCCAGATCAGAACCTTGTAGTGTTTGTAAGTACTTTCCTCCCTTTCTGAACACCTTATTAGGAGATTATACAGTATTTCTGTTAGTAACAGTATAGAGGGGACCTGAAGGCTTAGTAAGGAGACTCAGGCTACAACTATCTTACACAACAAAAATATAGAATACAAGTACTAGAACATAGTTGGAACTTACAGAACAGGTAGAAAGAGAGAGTGAGACAAGTGTAGAGTATATAGAGTGAGTCTAAGAGTATAGGACTACCTAGAGTAGACAAGATTAAGACTATAGAACTAGTCTGATCTTATACATGTATATATACTAAACTATACAAGAGTACTTAGAGAATGATGAGCTACAAAGAATAAAGAATAAGAGAGTCAAAGATAAGTAAACAAAGAATGAAGGAGTAGACAAAGAGTAAGAGACCTTAGAATAAACAAAGAATGAAGGGGTGAACAAAGGAAAGGAGTAATAAGGTAGAGAGAGGTAGTAGTAGAAGTTATAAAGAGAATTAGTCTATATATAGTCTATATACAGTGTACTTAAGGGACAGAAGTTCTGAGTTCTAGTACAGAAGGGTACAGAACTAGTAAAACTGAGAGTATAAGAGTAACAAACTGTAACATTACCCTCTCTCTAAAACTAATCATTCTAATTAGTAAACATTAGGCTTGATTAGTAGCTTAAGTATAAGTTAGAACAACAGGGTTTAGAAATCTGTAAGACAGAGTTGGTACAGAGCACCTGGATGAAGTTGATAGAAGTCTCAGATTGTATTAACAGTATGAGTAAGATTCTTAGTAGGTTTCTAAGTGTGTTCTTTAACTAGATACTCTTTCTAGTAAATAAGGAACTTAAGCTTTCTACATACTAACTTAGTATCTACTACATACTCTACTTTGTATTCTGGTTCAGAACTGACAAGTTCTGGTAGAGGTAGTAAGGGTCTTTGTTATAAAGGAAAACCTGGGTTGTAGTACTAAGACAATAGAACCTTGTTAAACACTAAGTGTATGTACTTCTAGATTGTTAGGAGTTAGAGTTTGTAGGTAGAGATACTAACCTTCTTCTTAATAATAAAGAGTCTGAAGCACTTATTGTCCAACTTCTTTATTAAGTAATCTGTAGTCAAATTAGTAGCTTCTACATTATGAAAAAGTCTTAAGTATTATACTTACTTATAATCTTGTATATTTTATAAATTTTATAAAATTTGTCTAATTACTTATAATCTTCCTAAAGGGTTAAGTAAGGAAAGTACAATGTTAAATAAGTAAGAAAAAATACTTTTAAAACTTGGCAATTTCTAATATAATTTTATAAATTGTCAAGTTATACAAGTAATTATAATATACTTTCTAAATTATAAGGTTAAGACATACTTATTAATTTGTGACAGTGTAATATCTGCTTATAATACTTACAAGTCATTACAAGTGTTTGAATAGCTTACTTTTACTTACTATACAATTTTATATCAAATAATTAATCAAATATAATTATATTTAAATTATAGAATACAAAAATAGTAAATAATACACTATTTCTACAGTCTCAACCCTTACACTACTAGCTGCCTCTACCTCATTCTTCTGTGAGTAGGATTTGTGTTAGACAAGAATGAATACATTCTCAGACTGTTTGACATAGTTTTTGTCACTATGTTTTGGTTGTTACTCAGTTCTTACAAGTTAAATTATAAGTGTATATAGAATAAGGTTGAGTAGGTTGTAGAGATTGAGACTGCACCTGTAAGACAAGCTTAGAGTAATTAGTAAGTAACAATAAGAGTGAAAAGATAGACATACTGTAACAGTGTGTAGCAAGTGTGAGTAGGTCACCTAGATTGGAAATCTAGAGTATTAAGTAAGCTAATTTGAGCTGTAAAGGAAATGTGTCTGTACAAGTATGTTGTATACTCTAGCTATAATGTAATGTACAATCAGAGGTATAGTGAACTCAGTAATAGTTGTGAATGACTTTGAAAGTGTATCTCTAAGACATTCTGGCTTGAAGGGAGAGGATAAAGTAGGTAGTATAGACAGACTCAGCTTAGAAGAGGTGAGTAGTAGCTACTACTTCTGTTATTCAAAATAGTGTTATGAACAGTACTAGAGTATATAAATGCACACAGGTGTAAGCCTATTAAGGGTGATATCAAGTATAGAATAGTAGGTAGGGAAGGAGAGTGTGTAGAGAGTTAGAGAGAGGATTGTGTCTAAGGAGTAGTATTAGATTGTACTCTAGATTAGGAAATCCCTAATTACCTTATATAGTGTTACTACACTTGGAATGTCTTAGACTATTAGACTTTACTATGTAGTATATAAGGTAGACACTTGCTTAATGTCTTAAAAAGAGAGAGTTTGTAGGGCACTTCTACTACACTTGTTAAAAGGTTATAAGCTTTAGTACTTATTGAATACCCTTATGTACTTACTCTTGTAGAATGCCTTTGCCTCCTGCTAGCACACCAAGCTCTAGAATTTCCTCTCCCTCCAAACCTATTACAATGTTGTCTACAATACATACCTTTGTTAACACTATAATAAAGGACTCTAATGTTACAAAGTTCTTTGAGAGAACAGAAAAGTTAACTAGTGTAAAGAGATATAAGATATAGTACTTATACATACACAGTGTACTTACTGTCATAATGCTCTCAGACCATCTAGAGCACAATACTCCTTCCTCTAATAATGCTAGTATATGTACAGACAATGTTTTGTATTATTGTATAACAAAAACAATAACTAATACAATATATATAAACTTTACAATATATACAAGTGTTAGAAGTCTTATGAAGGTGCTTTCTGAACAATATGATGTTCAAACAACAATGACACATACTGTAAACATATCTATGTTGTTTATAGTAAAAGGACATGTATTACAGTTTGATAAGACATTAGACAATAATGAACAAATCTACAGACAGTTGTCTGTACACAATAAAGCCCCTAATAATAATACATACATCTCAGCAATTAACCTTACTACTCCTTGTAAGTATAGATGGGTAGTAACAATGCTAGACAGGAAGATTACCTATTATAATCAACTACTAACAGTTACAGTAGCTCAGAAAGACATTCTGACACTAGCTAAGTTGATACACAAATTGTGAAACATATATACTAAGTATCATTCTCAGTACTCTCAAACAAAACAAGATACTGAACAAGACAGCCTACAAATGAAAGGCAAAAGTGTAGCTAAAGGCAAAACAAAGCCTTATAGTAAAGTTAAATGCTACAATTGTAATAAGTACAGGCATATGTTAAAAGACTACTAAAATCCCCTAACAAGCAAAACAATAGAAGCTTGAAAGAAAAAGTATAGGCAAACAGTTACTACTTCTACTACTACTACTACATTGTCTCAACCTGTACTTACTATAACAGTATTCATTAGAGACAATAACAAAACAGTATTCATTAAAGACATTAATAAAATACTAATGCTAGAGTCTGTAATTGTAGAAGCCTCAGTATTAAACTCTAGCAGCTTACTTGTTCAATCTACTCTATCTACTGAATCTGCTCTATCTGCTGAATCTAACACATTCTCAGTATTTGAAGTATAAGAGGATAGTGTTATACAAGTAGACAACTTTATAAACTCATTTGACAATATGAAAGAAGTTATTAAGGACTTCAAGTATAATCCAAACATATGTATCAATGTAATACATTGTAATGATACTGAACTAATATATTGTGTTAATATATTGGACTCTAGCACAAATGTACACACTACTCTATACTTGTTCTGTCTTACAAACATCTGGAACTTGACCCTAATAAACATTACAATTGTAAATAAATTGTTATTCACACTTAGCAAAAGTAGAGTAATGACATTTAACATAAAACTATGAGACAAAGATAATGAGCATACTAAGGTGAATATGATTTCACTACAAAATGTATACTATCATCCCAATCTGAACTTCACACTTGTTAGTAAAGCACTATTATACAAAGTAGGATATGTTTTAACAAAAACAAACAATGAATGTATTATTTATTCCCTTACTTATACAAAGATTGGTGAAATACATGTACAAAATAACTTGTATATGATAGTTTCTCATCATAATAAATGATCTATTATATCAGCAACAGTATAGAGGGGACCTGAAGGCTCAGTGAGGGGACCTAGGCTATAACTATCCTACACAACAGAAATACAGAATGTAAGTACTAGAACATAGTCAGAACTTGTAGAATAGACAGAGAGAGAGAGTAAGACAAGAGTAGAGTATATAGAGTGAGTCTAAGAGTACAGGACTACCTAGAGTAGACAAGATCAAGACTACAGGACCAGTCTGATCTTGTACACTTATATATACTAAACTACACAAGAGTACTCAGAGAGTATAAGCTACTAAGAATGATAAGCTATAAAGAATGAAAGAAAGGAAGGTCAAAGATAAAGGTACAAAGAATGAAGGGATGGACAAAGGGTAAGAGACTATAGAATGAACAAAGAATGAAAGGGTGGTTAAAGGAACAGAATAATAAAGTAAGGAGGGGTAGTAGTAAGAGTTAGTATACATATAGTCTATAAATAGCACTCTTAAGGGACAGAAGTCCTAAGTTCTGGTACAGAAGGGTGTAGAACCCTTAGAACTAAAGGTACAAGAGTAGAGAACTGTAACATCACCCTCCCTCTAAAACCAATTGTCCTGATTGGTGAACATTAGGCTTAGTTAGTAGTTTAAGTATAAGTCAGAACAGTAGGGCTTGGAAATCTGTAAGACTGAGTTTGTGCAGAGTACTAGGATGAAGCTGATAGAAGTCTTAGATTGTCTTAAGAGTATAGGTAAGGTTCTTAGCAGGTTCTCAAGTACACTCCTCAACTGAGTACCCTTTCTAGTAAACAAGGAATTTGAGTTTTCTGTATAACAACTTAGTATCTACTATATACTCTACTTTGTATTCTGGTTCAGAACTAATGAGTTCTGGTAGAGGCAGTAGGGGTCTTTGTTACAAAGGAAAACCCAGATCATAGTACTAAGACAATAGAACCTTGTTAAACACTAGGTATATACACTTCTATATTGTTAGAAGTTAGAGTTTGTAGACAGAGGTACTAACCTTCTTTTCAATAACAAAGGGTCTGAAGCACTTGTTGTCCAACTTCTTCATTAGGTGATTCAAGGTCAGATTAGTAGCTTTCAGTATAACTTTGTCACCAGGCTAGTAATCCTTGGCTACAGATCTCTTCCAATTATAGTTCTACTTTATAACCTGTACTACCTTCTCTAAAAGAGCTTATGTGTCCTCTCTAGTTTTGTACATCTGTTCTACAAAGTCTGTTACAGATTCAGAACTACTGTTCTAACTTAGAACTGTCTTCTAATACAGATACCTTCTATAGTTGAGGAAGAATAGAGACTGTTTTATAACAGAGTGTTACTAGTTATTGTGTACAAATTCTGCTAGAGCTAACTATTCAGACTAATCCAACTACTAATAATTAATAAACATTCAGAGGTAGAGTTCAATCTTCTAATTGACTTACTTAGTTTGACTATTAGTCTGTAGGTAATATGTAGTAGAGGGGTTCTCTTGAATTCTGAGAAGAGTGTACAAGTCCTGTATGAATTTTAACTCAAATTATAGTCTATAATTATGAATGAGTTTCTGAGAGAGTCTATACAACTAGAAGACATAATCCTAATAAATACACACTATACCTTTAAAAGTGAGTTCTGTTTAGGTTGGAACTATGTAGACTTACTTAGAGAACTGATTAACAATCATACAGATAGTATTGTAACTCTAAGACTTGGGTAGCTTACTAATCAGGTTTACTAAGACTTCTTCCTAAGAGTAATTTAGAATCTGATACAGATGTAAGAGAGTCTAAACCCTTGTCTAGTAAGCCTTAGTCTGTTAGTACATATTATAACTACTTACATACTTTAGGATTTCCCTCTACATTTCTGACTACTAGTAGTTCTAAGTAATAAGTTCCTGTGTTTTGTATTAGTCTGAATGTTCTACAGTCAGATTGTTGTAATAAGCTCAAACTATGTCCTCCTATAGCTTCTGATCCTTTAGAATGTACAGTTGGCCTTTCTAGTAAACTTGTCCATCCTTATCCTCCTTCTAGTCTCTAGCCTACTTCTCTAACTACTTTACTATAACCCAGTCCTGTGTGTGTCTTAGAGCTTACTATATGTAAGTAACAAAGTTAACATTCTTAGACTTGAGTTGGATCTCTTAGATTGTCTTAGATGTGAAACAGGAATTGTTAAGGAGAACAAGATTTTTATTATCATTCTCCCTCCTTTTATAACCTACTTGTCTTAAGAGTAAATTAGCTTTTATTATTTGCTTTCTAAGTTTGTAAGTCAGTATAAAGTTATAGTTCTACAGTTCTAACATCCAGCAGGTCTAGTAGTGGTTGAGCTTCTAAGGTGCCTGAAAGTATTAGAGATTAAAGTGATTACTCTAAATCTTAAACTTTTGTACAGTACTAAGAAGATATTAATACTACTCCTTTAAGGAACAGACAATTGTAAGGAGTTCCTTATTGTAAATAGAGTAGTTCTGTTTAGTTACAGAGAGGGATTCTGATTAGAATACTATCAGACACTACTTTCTATTAATAAACTGAGACAGTACTACTCTATTTGTAAAGTTGGAAGAGTTAGCTTTAACTTAGAACTTGTTTACAACTGTCAGAACTACTAATACAGACTTGCTAGTAATAGCCTACTTGAGGGACTCAAAAGTAGACTGTTCCTAAACATTCTATTACTATAGAACATCTTTGCTAGTAAGATTGTGAAAGGGCTAGGTAATGGTACTAAAGTCTTAAATAAAGTGTTAGTAGTAGTTTACAAACCTAAAGAATACTTGGACTTGTTTTAGGTTTTAAGGTTGTAACCAGTTCCAAAACTATAGTTACCTTTACTAGATCTATACAGACCTCTCCTCCTCTAATTACAAAACTCAGATAATCTACTAACTCCTGTGTAAAAGAGTACTTTACTTTATAGAGAAATAGTTTATTATCTTAGAGCTACTATAGAACTGCTTAGATCAGTTAGTAGTAGTACTCAACTGTTTAGATAAAGATTAGGATATTGTCTAGATACATACTAACATACTCTAAGTTAATCAGATCTGTAAGAATGTGATTCATGAATGACTAGAACATTGTAGACAAGTTAGTTAGTTTAAAGAACATTATAGTTAGTTTGTACAGTCTGTAATTGGTTTAGAACACAGTCTTCTACTCATCTCTGTCTTAGATCTAAATGTTATTATATTCTTATTAAATGTTTAGCTTAGTAAAAACTTAGAATGTATGTGTCTTATTAATGAGCTCCTGAATCAGAGGGAGTAGGTACTTGTTTTTGACAGTACCCTTATTAAGACAATAATAATTCTAGACTAGACAGAGCTTCCTATCTTTCTTTTTGATAAAGAAGAAAGAGGAGGCTATAAGAGACTTTAAGGGTC